ACAGCGAGCAGAGGGGGGGGCTCCCGGGGGACCCACGTCTTTGGTTGAATCTCATTCGTCCCGCACTCATTGGCCCAGCCCACCGACCCCGCCCCGTCGGAGCCCAGAAGTCGCGCGGGGTGGGCGGGGCCGGAGCTGGGAACCCGGCGGGGTGGGCGGGGCCGGGGCTGGAAACCCGGCGGAGTGGGCGGGGCTGCAGACCTGCGCCTTTTCGGCCTCGGTGGTGGAATTCTGCTGGCGACCAGTGGACTGGCTACCCGCGGGTCACAGGCCAGCCCCGCTTCGAGAGAGAGGACGTGGCGGGAAGTGGCAGGGCCCAGGCGGGATGGGAAACGTTGTGGCCATCTTCGGGAAACACAGCGGCCACCTATTCAGGAACGACCAACAGATAATAATCTGTGGTCAGAAGGGAGCCTTCCCCAACACCCCACCCACGTCTCACACCTGACCCTGTGCAGCATTGTTTTCATTGAAAGTAGAGGCGCCAAAATGTTTTTAGATCTTTGCTATTTTAGGCAGGAAAGAATTTAGCACAGGGAACTGGTGCTTGGGAAGTCATCGGAAAGCTGGAGGAGTGGATATTAGGCTGGGCCCCCAGGAAAGACTCCCTGCCCAGTGGGAGGAGCTGCTCCCTCAGCCACAACTGAATTCTAGGACACTCTGGCACAGCTGTGACCCGGGGATCAGGAAACTGCTGCCCCTGCAAGTGCCCTCCAGCTCCCACAAAACAGGTCACTGGGCACTGCCTGTGCCACAACTGCCTGTGCACAGCCTGAGTTCCACTGCAGAAAACCTCACATCTCTGCAAACATGATCACCAGCAGCAAACAGCCCCGGGAAGATGCCTCTGCCCCACTTCTGCCTTCAAAATATCGTGCAAGCACGTCCAACCGGCAGAAACTAATTCATATCCAGAAACCTAGCTGCAAAGGAGTTTGTGCAATTTCAGACTTTCGTCTAGGAGTGAGATCTTGCCAATGTACCGCATGTGCCTGGTATTGATAAAAATGGGGCCTGGCTGGTGGGGCTCAGTGGTTGAGCATCGATCTATGATCCAGGAGGTCATGATTTGATTCCCTGTCAGGTTTCTAGCTCGATCCCCAGTAGAGGGCATGCAGGAGGCAGCTGATCAATGATTCTTTCTCATCATTGATGTTTCTATCTCTCCCTCTCCCTTCCTCTGAAAACAATAAATATATTTTTTAAATGGGGTCATGCTATACATATGCATTATAATGAGTTTTTCACTTCATAGATCACTAATGTCTTTCCTGTTAAAACCATATGTATAGAACACTATTTGTTTATTTATCGTTCATGTTTACCGATCTCAGAGAGAAGAAGGGAGAGAGAGAGAAACATTGATGTGAGAGAGAAACATTGTTCCGTTGTTTCCAGCACTCACTGGACTGGTATTGAATCTGCAACCTGGGCATGTGCCCTGACCGGCAATTGATCCACCACTTTCTGGTGTATGGGATGATGTTATGCTGGTACCCTGACCCCAAATTCCAGCCTCCAGAACTGTGAGAAAAATACGTTTGTTGTTTAAGCCACACAAATTTATGATCTTTTGTTATGGCTGTCTGAACTGACTAATATAGACTACAGTGGGGCCTTACTTACGAGTGTCCCGACTAACGAGTTTTTTGAGATACCAGCTGTCTATTGGCCGATTTTTTGCATTGAGTTTATAGAGCAATTTGAGTTAACGAGCTCCTTAACGAGCTCCTTAATGAGCTCGGTCTCAGAACGAATTAAACTCGTAAGTATAATGGATATGTAGGTGGTTCCCCCCATTTTTGCTATTATAACTTGAACTTAATTGCCAAATCCACCAGCCTTTTTTCTTTTCTAGGTCCCATCATTCGTGGCATCTGCAGCACAGATGGTGTTGCTAACCTTTCCTTGAAACTGTCTCATCCACTCCATTTACTGGCTCATTCAC